ACGGAAACTAGTTAACTCGTTTCATGAACAAATACAATAAGTTAGGACACTAATCTCAGTCATACAGCTTCGAAAATTAATAAAAGAAAAAAAAAGTATTGCTTGATAATAGAAAATAGGCTGACACCCACTGTTTTATATTTTTACATTAAAAAGACTTCCCTTTTAACTGCCCTCCTTCGTAAACTACTAACTAATGACCGAAGAGCGACCTTAGCTTATTTATTTATTACTGACCAAAATAGCTTTTAAGAAAAGTCTCCTCTTCAGAAGAAGTGCATCATTCTACATGCTAATTCAACGCTGATAAGGTTAATAAACGTAACAATAATATTAATGACAAATATATAATTTTAAGCTTTAGTATAAATGAAATTTTGCAATGCATAACAACAATAGCTATATTCCAACAGCTAAGGCTTGAATACCGCTCATTACTATAAAAAAAGTGAATGGCAGGCAACTTAACTCATATACTAAAATTAGCTGTTAAAACTCCTTGCAAGATATGTCATTTCAAATTTTCTTCTAACCACGACATCAACATACTAGTGAAGACTGCCGGCATGAAACTTATATCTATCCTTAACATCAGAAAAAGATCTCATAGTCTTTGGTCTGTCTGAAATTAATATTGGCAAAATACTAGTAAGTTTGTTCTATAAAAACGGACTATCCTTAGGATTATCAATTAATTTTAAGGTCTCTGCTTGTAATGCTTAGAAATAGTTACAAAGTTGTTTTTTTTGAATAGAACGAAAACTTTAACAATGTCAGCCAAGTGAAGTTAAAAATTTATATGAAACTGAACAAAAACTTATTTGGTTCCTTTTATAAGTATAAAACTTTCTTATTAGGCATTCATAAGATATTTTATATATTTATAATATTGTTTTGTTTTCATTTTTATAAGTCAAATAGAAAGAAATGTACAATGCTTTCGAAGTTAGCTTTAAATGCACACTGAAGAGCTTTGTTCCTTTGTTTGATTTACTACTAAAATTATGACCTGCAATTAGAACAATGTAAAAGAAGCACTTTAAGGTGGTTGATTGTGATAGAGAAGTTATCGGTAATTATTTATTCAACATTTTAAACACTAAAAAGTGCATCCCTTCGGAGAAAGCTAAATAACCACAGTTTACCCAAGTTTAAAGACATATAAGTTTAATTTGTGCGCTCATGTGTCGTGCGTTTAGTGGAGGTTTATATAATGGTATTAGATACCAGGTTCATGTCCACACTAGATGAAATAAGTTAAACTTAAATTAATCAACATCCATATTCATTAACGTAAATAGTCACAACTTACTACTCGAACTTAATTTTGTACTGGTGTCGGAGATTTTAAAAAAACACCAACTGCGAGTTGATTGTGTGTTTAAAATTAAGTCCGAAGTTCATTAAGAGCGTCCCTACGTATATTTTAATCATTTAGCAAGTATACGTAATGACACCAGGATAAGGGGGGGCACTAAAATTTGGAGTAGGCGTATACTTCGATCAACTCTTAAATTTATTATCACAACTCAAGACGGGATGTTGTTAGCAATTTACACCTGAAAGGCGATAGCCAGATAAAAACATTCTGTTAATAAACTTTTGAACAAATCATACACCAAACAACTCTAGGCATTGTAGTTAGCTCACAACTAATTATAATGAGTGTTAATTTCAACTGTAAATAGTTAATTTTCTGTGATTTAAGAGGGCTGGTCTTTGTTGAGTAAATTTTCATAAACTGAGGCTACCGTTTAGAACCGAGTGATGTACTTGACTTTGCGATATAAAGGCAGATATTATCAACTATAAATTTCTTCTCATCGCGAGTTTTAAAGATCGAAGTCATATTACACTCGAAAAAGGCTGCATGCCACTCTATACAACTGACATTTCGTAAATATATTTATTATTGGACGCGACAATTTAAGGCACTGTTACTTTTACATTTATAAAGTCGAGTAAGCTAGGCCAGTTCAAGCTTAGAGGGCGGTATACTAATTTTATGTTTTTCAGAGATAAATTGGCTCTTGACTTCGATCTCATGATTCCTTATAAGAGTAAATCTTAGTTTAAAAATATATATATATACTGAGAAAAGGGTATACTCCCCTTCCCAAACAAAGAACAGCACTCAAGTAGAAAGTAGCTTACGGCACTGTTTTATGGAGCTAAAAAGTAAGATCTTTAACCACTTTAGACGACTCTTAGTGGATATTTCCTGGCAATAGCATTAGCGCTTAACCATTCTTCTTCTAAACTGCTGAACCGCATCTGGTATTTTTAAGTCCATTCTACTAAGTAAATGTCATTTAAAGAACTTTTTTTTTCTTATGCCTTAGTAATAGGCAGAGATGGTAAGTTGTTAAATAATTTGCCAAGTACGAGGTCTGCCTTATTAAAAAGCACTCACCTTTAAAAAAAATTTCACAAAATCTTGGAACGTTAATAGTTTTGAGAAACAAAAACTCTTCCTCTTAATGATATATAAATATCAATTATAAATTTTTATACTCTATTATTCACATATGTTAAAGACCTGCTACAAATATGGTAAAAAGTTGGTTTTTTAAATTGGCAAAATTGAAAATATAGTTTTATCAAGTATACTTTTATGGATACAATAAAAATTTAAGTTGCCTAACTAATATTTTATAAAACTATAACATTCCTTAATTTTTGAAGTATGGATCATTTATTTAACTACTTCTCAGCACTGTTAGTTTATGTCTAATATCGACGGAAAACCCATTCTCTCACTTTTGCTACAAATATGGCTAGGAGTTTAGTTACCTAAGTGTCAAATTTAGAATCATCTTTTTATCAAGCACCTTTTTTGGGTTAAATTAGTGTAAGGTAGGTAAGAAAAAGGAATTTATAAAAGTAATTGATTTATTTTTAAATTTTTTAAAGTAGTATATATATACTGTAGAAAATTGAAAAGGACGGAAGCGGTTCAATGATAGTCACAATGCGAATTATTATAGTCGCTCTTGCCATTCTCTTTGCAAAGGTGTATGCAGTTCCACAAGCTTGCATTTATAAAGATTCCAATTGCAACACCCTGATAGTTTGTGTTCCTATTGGATATTGCCGAGCAAATGTGAAGTTTACCGATAAAGGAAATAAGGTCCAATATGAAAAGTTTTTACAGTCGGATTGCAGTGGAACGGCCTTGAACAACCCGTTGAACATTCCTTATGATTCTTGCTTTCCACTAGATCCAACTTCATCTTTATATACGTTTGCATCTAAGGCCATACTTTTTACAAACTTCGGTGGACCAATTAGCTTGGGGATTCTTATGAGTGTCCTGTGTTTCTAACTTCATGTAGCTAACAGGCCCCTAAATTAATAAAGAGTTACCAAATTTTTAGATTAAATCTTATCTACTACGAGAGAAGTTACAGTTGATAAAATGATCCGCGTAACAATCAAAATTCGGAAGTTCAATAAACATTGCCCCTTACAGCGCCCCAGATGTTACAATTTATCACTCTAATATAGTTATATAATATAGATTATCTAAGTCTAATATTTAAATACCTTAAGTTAAGACAGGGGCTTTCTCTCCTAAAAAATTATGGAGCTGATAGGCACAGTTGACTGAACGCGATAGGAGTCGGTTTATCCAATGGGCTCGCGCCTAGTTCTAAGAACCATCTCCCTTAGTGGTGGTTATTTCTCGATTTCCCAGCACTAAAGGTCGGATAACGAGAGTCCGGACCTTTTACGCCTACGCTTCTAACCTTTTTTAAATAATAATAAAAAGGAAGTTCAAGTTAAAAGGTTCAAAGGCCTTATGAAGACCGAATAGTGTGTAAATTTTAAATTGCGTGCCCTTTACTTCTTGCCCTCTGTCTTTGGATCTGCCTTTTTTATTTGTTTTTTGTTCCTACTATTACATTTTCAATAAGGTATTAGTAGGCAATGCTATAAGCGTTCTTACATGCTACTAATATCAATATTTTCCTTTTATAAGCGTTCTTACATGCTACTAATATCAATATTTTCCTTTCACTTCGAAAGAAAGTTCCTAAATCCTTGGTTTAGTTCTAAGTCTTCTCATGTAGATCCAGCTGTTACTTGACAATCATATCTTGTAGCTTTTCGCTAAGTCCATTGCCCTCCTTATGGAAAACGTAGCGGTTTAACACGAATACTAAAGATAGTGTTGTCGAGAACTAACATGGCATAAAAGAGGGTCAGCTAAACGGCGCTGTTGGCGCTGGAGGGGAATTAGCCTGCATGAGACTGAAGAAAAAAAACCAGACACACTAAATAATATTGTACCAATAATGGGTTCAGTTAGCAAAGGCTTTGTAATGACCTACACTTTTTTTCCATTCTTAGGGAATTAGAATTGTATAAGCAGCCCTATTTTTTAGCAAAATCAAATACTGTTTAGAACAAGGCCTTTAATATTTGTGAAAAAAATATTTGTGAAAACATGAAAAAGGAAGGGGCTACAGTCGGAGCCGTAAACCCTATTTAAATTTTTTTATTGTGCTCATTTATGGGTTTCTTTAGTGATATAACCTCTTCATTAAAAAAATCTATTTAATGTCTACAATGAAAAAAATTGCACATTAATTACAAACGCTTGGTCTACAGTATTTAGCTTCCAGTGCGACTATTTATTATTATAATCTGAACTTAATGCAATCTAAAATTTATATATTTTTTACAAGATTAATCATTATATTCACAAATGATTTAAGGTTTTTAGTATTTTTTTAGTAAAAATTCACGAAAATTGTATAAGTTATTATAGTAACCTCGTTGTTTGTACTAACCTCACAGTATTTTGCTGTATCCTCTTAAGGGTTACTATTGATAAATGAGTTAAAACTAATCAAGCCACGCTTATCTACTCGGCATCTTTTACCCGAACTCGCGGTCTACGTTGCTTTACATTTAAAAATACTAGGATAACAACGAGCAACTACTTTCTCATGTCTGTAATCCCAGTAGAATCCAGTTTCATACGCATATATCAGCGCATGTGGCAAGCTCCTCTAGCTTAATGAGGCCTTCTGTTTATGCACTTGACTAAGTTTTGTAGTTAATGCTGGAATAATTCCATAGAGGTGCAGTAAAATTTAAATTTAGTATGATTATTAAGAACAATGAAGGAAATAAAGAAGGTTACGAACCAATTTACTCTTTAGTTCGTTTAAAACCTTGTTCGACGCGCACAACTACTAAATCTTGTTTGGAAGTTTTAGGTTTTCATAAATTTTACTTTAGTTTTTGAATACCTCTCGCATTATATGTAGCAGTCTATTGATTATTCTGTTTAATTATTATAATACCATTTTTTTTATTATAAATACTTATTTAAATTGTAAAATAATTAATTATACTTCTTAACATAGTAGGTTTTAATTGAGTTCACACTTATTAAGTAAATAGTTGTTATTCTAAACATATTTACATGATATTACTTTAAAATAATTTATATTGCTAATGAAAAACTTGAAAAGGGCTAGATAGCCTTAGAATGGTAGGGAGTGACGAGAAAGTTTTTTTTTGCGATCGAGTCTTAGGTGAAAACACAACGCAGGTAACTTTTTTTTATATTGATGTTAACCTGAAATACAATAAACTTAATAGAAAGAAATCTTTGATATTATTGGTGTTGAATTAGTAAAAAATATTTTGAGAGGCTACAATGGCTGTCTTTTAACATAGTAAATTTTATCAAATTCGCTCTTAAATATAATAGTATAATATTATCTTTTTATAATATAGTGGCCAAACAGGGTCAGGAAAAACTTTTACTGCGTTTGGTATTTTCAGTTTTATTTTTTTTTTTAAAGATAATAAGGGTACGTCAAAATTTTATTAAAGGTGATTTTGATGATGTTCTTTCAGAGAAGAGGGGAATTATACCGCGAATTTTGCAAAGTATTTTCCGTGAAATTGAAAAAGAATATGAAGAGGAAATTTTTTTTAATCGTTACTAAAATTCTTTTATATATATCAATTTTTTAAGATAAAACTTGCTTACACCTATAAATATCTATTTTTTTAAGAATTTAACTTTAATTTTAAACTGTCAAGATTATTCGAGTTTTAGACAGTTGAAATACTTGTAACAAGTATTGAAATTGTTTTTATATTTCCATTTTAAAGAGTTGTATCTTGTATACAGTTTAATTCTTTAGTGGTTAGAAATATTCAGGAACTTTTAAATTTTATTAATTCCAAATTATTTTGTTGTTTTGCTATATCTATTTATAATGAATACTAAAGCAAATTAAAACATTAAGTTTAATTTTTTATGATTAACTTTAATTTCTTTCGATTTAGTGATTATTATTATTATTTTTAATAAAACATTTTTATGAAATATTTTATTTAATTGATTATTTCCATTTTACTTTTCTTTTTTTTTAAAATTTAGGTTTTTAACTAGTTTACAGTAATATCTTCATATTTATATTGTATTACTGTTTTATTATCTTTACCGCTTTTTTAATATTTTTCAGCTTATTTTCTATTATTATTATTAGAAATATCACTTTTCATTTTTTTATAATTATATTGTTATAGAAATTATCAATAATATTGTTGTTTACTTTTTTTGCAATATATATTTTCCTTTCTATTACATTATTGCTATTATTATATTTTCCATGTCACGTATATATAATATTTATATTATTACTATTTATTACAATACCCTTACTATTATTAGAATCCAACGAAGCAATTTCTACTAAAATGTTCGTTTTTACAAATCTACAACGAGCATTTATATGATCTTCTGGATTCCTCTTGCGTCAACCTCAGTATTTTTATTTTAATATTATACGTTTTTTTTATATACTTTTTATATTCTTTGCTATTTTTTATTATTATAATTAATTATCATCCAAATCTTTCTATTCATATTTTACATTATTGCTGCTATAATTTTCATTTTATTTATTTAAAAGTATTGTTATTGTCATTATTATAAATTGTATTATTAATATATATTAGCTTTGAAATTATACATAATAGAATAATTTTAATAATACTATTATTTTTATATTTATTTTTTTGAATAGATTTGTTATATATATAATTATTAATATCACTAATACATGTGTACTACTATTATTCTATAAATGATAATATTGTGAGGCCTCGGATTGGATATTAATAAGGATGTGTTTGTAAAAGGCCTGCAAGAAGTGGAAGTGCGGGACACTCGTGAAGCCATCGAAGTATAAATAAATATTCAATTATTTATCATTTCTGAATAAATTTATATTTTTTTTCAAAAGTTCTGTACTTTTTCTTTATAATAAATTTATTAATAATTGAACGTTTATTCATTATTATTTAATATATATTAAATTTTTTTTTGGTGGTAATAATAATATTATTTATAATTGTTATAATAATATTTTAAATAATCGTTTTTCTATTTTTATTTATTATTATAAAATTTTTCTTTCAAGATATTTTATAAATATACTTATAATAATTTGTACTGAATTTCTTGTTAAAACCAACTATTAAATAATTTCTAACTAATAATTTGCTTATAATAAAATTCTGTTTTTATAGTAATCACGTTATTAAATTTTATTACTTTTATTTGTATTTACATTTATTTAATTTAATAATATGAAACTCTTTATTTTTATATTATTATTTTAAAGATCATTAAATTTGGCTCACTTAACCGTCGCGTGGCCTCAACTTCTATGAATCAAGAGAGTTCTCGTTCTCACGCTGTTTTCACTGTAACGATTCAGTCTCAGGTTTACTTAATATTATTATTAGTATGAAATACATTATAATTAAGTCTTACTAATTATAAATAATAAATAGTTGTAGCAAAAATATAAATTTATCATAAAAGTTTAATAACTATAAGAGAAAAATAGTCTTCTAAAGTAATGAAACTGGATATATTATTATCAAACCAATCTTTCTTGCATGTGTGCGGCTCTCTTTATTATGAAAGATTTTTTGTATAATATTTTTTTTAAGTTAAATAAGTTTTTGTTTTTATTTTAAGGAAATAAAAGATGACATTAAAGTTACGCGGACTGCGAAACTTGACCTTGTCGACTTGGCCGGCTCGGAACGACAGAAACATACTAATGTTTATGATTACTATTATTATTATTATTATTATTATTATTATTATTATTATTATTATTATTATTATTATTATTATTATTATTATTAGGCACTTGGTGCAACTTTAAAAGAATCATGTAAAATCAACCAATCGTTATCCACTTTGGGCAAAGTCATTAAAGCGCTTATCGAAAAAGAAAAACCCCCTTATCGTGACTGTTTGCTTACCCATTTACTCTCGGTGATGATTATTATGATTATTATTATTTATTAATACTATATAATAGTATTATAACCAACTTTCATTAATCTGGACTGGAAAGTTATACGTATAAACTTTTTTTTGAGCATAGTCTTTTGGTTAACACCAACTAATAATTATAATAGTAATAATAATAGTTTTATTATTTAATTTATCGCTAAATAAATAGACAGTATATATTTAGTTTAATTACCAAATTAATACTTAATGGCCATTTTAATTTTTTGTTTGGTAACTATTATTATAAATTTCTAATTTCTACGAGCTACACTAATTTGAGTCGTTTATATTAACATTTTGGTATAAATTGACTGTTCTCGCTACCAAATATCGTTTAATTAGTTTTCGCCGATGTACTTTTTATTCCGCAGAAGGAAAATATATACTATAAATTTAAAAAATAAAATAAAATTAAATATATAATACATATAAAATGTTTTAAAATTTTTTTATATAAAAAAATATATAAAATAGTAAAAAATTTTTATAAAAAAATTTATAATTTTTATGATAACAACAAGCTGAAAAGTTTTCTTACTTATAAATTTAATTTTTACTTTTATATTTTTTTTTATTTTTTATTATATAATAGAACTCGCTTGGGGGAAACTCGAAAACTTATTTTCTTGCGACTATCCATCAAGACGCCGATCAGTTTTTTGAAACTCGCTCCACATTATTATTTACTCAAAGAATGCAACTTGTGCAGAATAAAGTTTCAATAATAATATGGCTATTATCTACTACTATTTATGATAGAATACTTTGTTTACTTTTTATTACTTTTGTCATTTATTTAATTTATCTCTTCTTTTGTGTTTTTTTTTTCTATTTTTTATTTTATATTAAAAATTTTTATATTATTATACTTCTATTATTGTTTATAAAGTTTTATATTTTGAAAAATATTATAAATAATAAAAATGATAAATAAAATATTTTTTATTTATAAATTTATATTTAATTATTTTTTTTATTAATGTTTTTTATGTTTCATTTTTATTATTCTGTTGATTTTTTATATATACATTTGATCAACTACTTTTCATGAGTATTTATTATATTTATTATATTATAAAGTTTTAGAGTACTTTACAGTTTTATTTATTTGTCTATTACTTAATAAATTTCTTTTCATAATTTGTTTATTATAATTATTTTTTACTTTTCTATATTTATTAATTACTTATTATTATTCGAGTTTCTAAAAAGTAGGACGGGTTATATATATTATTTTTTTTGTTATTCATATAAAAATATTTTCTCTTATTTTTTTTACTATAAAAAAATAATAATATTATTTATTAATGTTTCTTTTCTTAATATTTATAAATAATATAATATAACTTTTTATCTATTTATATATTAAATATTTTCATAACTTAAAAATTATTATAATAATATTTATTTTTGATTTATTATTTTTATATATCCTATAGTTTTGCTTTTACTTTTGTTTAGAATACAAATTATATTATTATTGTTATATCAGTATATCATTTCTTTTATTTTTATTATTATGATCCATATATATATTTTTATAATTATTTTGTTATTAATATTTATTTTCTTTATTTTCTTTTTTTATTATTATTTTTTATTTTATAATTCATTATGTATCTTAAGTAGTTTTTTTAATAATTACTATTATTTATTACAAATATTATTTTTGTATTATTTTTGATATTACTGCAATTTTTCTTATATAAAAAAAATATTTTCAATTCTATAATTTTATTTTTTTTATTTATGTATTTTTTTGTTATTAATTTATATTCTTAATTAAATTTTTATTAAATATAATAATTTTCAATTAATTATTAATTTTTTACTTTTATTATTAGATAAATATACTTTTATAATTGTTCTATTATATTTTATTATTTTATTAATTATAATAAATTGATTAAAAATACATTTTCTAAAAGTTTAACTATTATTTCTATTATTTTTATATTTATATATTTTTTTTATTTACTTTTATATAATTTATTATTTTATTTTTACTTTAATTATTTATATTTCTAGTTAATATTGATATAATTTATATTTTTTATGAAATAGTAATTTTTTATATAGTTTCATTTAAGTTGTATAATAAATAATACTTTAAGGCGGTAATAAATGAAGAAACTCATGAAACTTTTTCACAACTAAAAGAAAAATATTTAAAACTTTTAGAGAGATTTGAAGGTTTATATTATTATTATTATTATTACTATTATTACTATTATTACTATTTACATAAAGGAAATGCTGATGATAATAAAGTTAATTTTGAAAGCGTGAAAAAGATGAACGCCTTTCTTCTACGAGGTTTCGGTTTTTATATATTATTTTATGTATATTATTTTACGTTAGTACTATTTTTCTATATCTTTTTATTATTTACTTTATATAATAGAGAAAATACGCATGCAAGAACGTATAGATAATTATGAAGCAGTGAAAGAACTCGATGATAAAACTATAAAGTCCTTAAACCAGAGGAATCAGGTTGTATAAGATGATATGGGAATAGAACTTTTTTTTCATTATGTTTTTAATATTATTATAAAAAAATATTTTATTCAAAGTTTTTATTATATTTTTGATAAAATATATTCATAAATAATAATTTTATTATTTTTAATAAATAATAATATTATTTACAATAAGGAATTTCAATATTTGTAATAATAATTATAACAGTTGAATAAATAACATAAACAAGTTGAACAGATTAATATATACTATATTATTATAACAACTGTGATAACAACTATAATCTTTACTTATATTATTGATAGTAAATATATCAATATTTATAATAATAATAATAGTTTTATAAATAAAAATATAATAAACAAGTTGAGCAGTTTATAATTAATTAGAATATTCAATCTATTAAGTATGCAAATAATTTTTACTATATTTCACCAATAAAAGCATTTCTATATATTCTGTTATTTTTTTTTCTGGATACTTATTTTGTATTATATCATTTATGCTTTCAGAAAAAAAATTGCGAAAAGCTTTTTACAATAGAAAATTAAAGATTCATTATTTTTTAATTTATTTTGTAAGAATATTATATATAGACCGCCCCTATAGTTGTGCTACAATTTACTATTATCGGGCTCCATATACTTTCTCTGATCCAAATACACTGGGTTTTGCTTCCCCTAACTTTTTTGTAACTTTTCTCACTATCAAAAAGTTTATATTTATCTCCCTATCGTAAATTTGTTAGTGAAAACATTTGATAAAAGCAAAGCCAATAGCTTTGTCCAACTTGACATTCTCTCCAATTCGGTTATATTTTCTTTATTATAGCTACATTTTATTAATTTGAGGCTGATAAATTTTATTATTTGGTATTTTGTGCGGTCCTCTGTAGACTTCAGTTTTATCGATAAATTTTCGAATGCCCAGTTTTACTTTTTACTGTGTTTATATACATATATTGATACAGTTTATATTTTTATTTTTAGCGAATCAGCTCATTCAGTTTCTTATATATTTTTTATCGCGAGCTAGATTTTTTTTTTTTACAATACCTACAAAATATATATAATGAAATAAAGTTATACCTATATTGGCACTCTTTGTACAATACATTGTACCACTTTGCTTTTACAATACCTAAAATGAATTTGTTTGCCTTAATTGTTGCAAATAAAGTAAATTGGTTTTTCTATTACATATAATTTTTTTTTTTCGCTTCATTAAAAATATTTTATATTTATTCTTTACTAGAATTTAAAAATGAAAGTAAAGTTTCTCCAACGTAGACAAACAAAAAACGATTGGATTTCTGAAAAGGTCACTTCTTATCAATGCTCATTGGCTAATCTATCCTATGCATATGACCTTGTTACTAGGAGCAGCCCGTTATTAATTATAGAGTTAGTGAGGCGTGCAATTCTATTGGTTACTCTTTGTTTGCTGTTCCTTTTATTGGCTTTGTTAACTATTGTCGACGCCCAATTTTCATTGTTTTTAACTTTTTTCAAGAAATTTAGAAGCAAGAACTTTTATTGACTTTACAACAAGTTTACAAAAAAATAATTTTTTTAAATAATATAAAATACGACCATGCTTATAACCAATGAAATGAAGGAACTTGGCAAACCATGTGAGGAGGTTTCTGTAGAAATTGTTTGTAACAAGACTAATCCGGAAGTCACTCAATATGCTTCAAATTATTACATGCTCAAACGTATGAATTAAGTTTTACTAATATAATTACATCAAGATAATGATTTAATAGTTTTTTACTTATATAATTATTTTTATATTGTTTAGTATTTTTATTTCGTTCAGAACTAAAATATTTTTATTGTAAAGAGGAATTAAAAACTTTGAAAACGCAATATTCTTGTTTTGATAAAGATAATATTTATATAAAAGAACTTAAAGAATATATACAACAGGTTTCATAATAATAATTATTATTATTATGAATATTATAATTATTTTGTTTCTAATAAATAATTTTCAGCTGGAAGAACAAATTTTATTCTCAAGCGATTCCGTTGAGCTTCCAGAAACAAGTAAAAAAAGTAATTTTTATTGTTTTTAATTTTTTGTAACTTTTATCCGGAATTTTTTTTTAAAACTTTATTAAAATTATTTAGGAATACTTTACTTTATTCTTTTTTATTTAATAATAAATAGTTATAAAGAAACAATTTACTACTACAATAATTATTAACGGTATGAAAAACAAAAAAGAAGCTAATAATGATAACAATTAACTATAATTACTTTTGGATAGTTTTTTATAATTTAGCCCATAATAACTAAATTTATTCAAATCCTTACAGTCTGGGTCTTTAAAAATTATATAATTTTTTTCGTTTTAGTGAATTTTTTTTTCACTTTTGATGCGGTGCTTTTCTACTGCCCTTTTTTAGAAATTTTGGTTTGCTTTTTTTCTTTTTGCCCTGAAATTATTTTTATAATTTTTTAGTAATATATTATTTTTTTTATTTTTACTTTATATGCTCTATCATTATAATATTCTTTATCATTTTTGTTATTTTTATTCTTCAGCTCGAGCAACCGACCAACTTGAGGATATAGAAAAGTGGAAACTGAAACAAACTGTTGACATGGAACTTCAGCTAAAACTTGTAAAACTGTTATTTATTATTATTATCATTTTTATTATTGTTATTATTATTACTATTCTTATTTATAATAAATTAGTATAATGGCATTGAACTCGAATGCAATAACTTGAAAAATGAACTTAAAGAAGTTGAAATGGAGTTACACGAAGTAAAAGGCGAGAAGGAAACGTTAATAATAGAAAAAAACTTGTTAGCAGCCACCTTAGAAGAGGTAATAACGGTAATAATAATATTTTTTTTTATTTCTTATTCCGTTTTAGTTAAAAATAGAAAATGAAGAGCTGCAAAAAGTTAATAATTCGCTGGAATTCAAGATAAATAAACTTTTAGATGAAGCAAACTTTACTAAAAGCGAGCTTCAGCAAAATTTATTGGCCTCAACTGCCAAACTGACCCATGAAAAAAACGTATTAACTGAAAAGGTTTTGCGCACGTTCTTTTTTTGGAGCGATTAAAACTTTTGATTTTCTTAAAAAAAAGTTATTATTACTCTCTAATATGGAAGAAAAAAATGAAAAAGTTAGTAAGGAAAATATTTTCTTGCAGGTTATTATTATTATTAGCTAATTTTTCTTTACTTTAATATAAATTTTTTAACTGCGTTTTCTTAATATTTTTGTTTATTATTATTTAATATAACATTTTAATTGTTATTAATGTAATGTAGAAAAACTTTTATTCGTTTATATATTATTATTAGGAAGCGCTTAAAACAGAGAAACATAAGAATTCCGTGTGCTCTTTACAAGTTGAAGAACTCACAAACAAACTTGGGTTATATGAAGAACTTGATGAAAATAATAAGCAGATGATAAATGATGTTCCTTTAATTTTTATTATCATTACTATTATTATTATTATTATAATATTTAGTTAAACACACGAATAACTGAAAAAAGTAAGGAACTTTCCAGGCTGATGGACGAACAAAACAAACTCATTTCTCAACATAACAATGAAAAAATTGAGCTGCAAAGTATAATAAGTAAACTGGAGCACATGATCGATGAATCTGGTTTATCATTATGATTATTTATTACGTATATTTATTTTATTCTATAATAAAAAATACTATATATTACTTAGAACTTAACCAACAATTATCTCTTCTCACTCGAAAATACCAAAAATTGGTCCATTTTTATTATTATTACTTCTATTTATTAATTTTTATATAAACTTTTATAGAAACTCAATTATGGAGTTGCATATATGAAGATAATAAATCTTTATTAGAGGTAGAATCGAGGTCCGCTTATTGTTATTAGAATTTTTAGTTATATATAATAATGTATTATTATTTTTTATAGTTTTTCATACACTATCATATTATTTCATGTATTAAATAATTATTAGCTTATAAATATATTGTTTTAACTGTTTTCTTCATCATAAAATGGCATTAAAAAACTTTTTTAACTTATAAATAAATATATTGTATAAATATTTTCTATTATTATTCTTATTAAAAAAATTATTCCAACTTTTTTAGAATTTTTTGAATATAATTATTATATTTTTTGTAAATATTAAAAATTGTTAATAATATTTTTATTTATTTTTATAAAAATTAATTTTTATAATTATTATTATGAAGACTTGTCTTTAAATTTTTTGTTTTACTTTTATATATTAAAATAATTGTATAATAATGAATAATAAATAATATAATAAAAAATAAGTTTGAAAATATTTTTATCTAAAACTTTTTATTTTTTTTTATATACTCATTATTATTAATGTGTTAAACTATTTATATAATTAATTTTTTATATATATATATTATTATAAATTTATTTTTAGATATTATTTTTCTCTATTTTACTTTTTATAGTTTTTATATATCTATTAATAAACTTTTATTTTTCCTCTCAATATATATATAATAATAACTGTCATTATATAAATGACATTTATTTTTATATTTCTATAAATATACAAATTTTTTTTACTTGTATATATATATTAGTTTTTTTATAATTTTTTTTATTTTTACAATATATTTTATTAATATTTACTCTTCTTGTTGTTTTCATAAATAATCATTATAAATTTTTACGGTTTTTAATAAAATATATTGAAAATGTTACTTTTATTAAACTTTAAATATATATTTTTAATAATTATTATAGACTTTTTAATAGTTATTTCATAATAAAAAAATATATATAATATTTTAAAACTTTTTTTTTACTTTTTCGTTTTTTAAATTTTTTATATACAAAATTTTCAAAACACTTTTTATTTACTTTTGTTTTAAATTTTTTAAAAATGTAAAATTTAATTTATAAATTTAAAAAAAAAGTTTTATTATTACTTTTTTATATAATTTTAGAAAACTTTTAATTAGTTACTATTATTATTTATGATTATTAGAAAACTATTTTTTATTATTTCTTTATTTTTCTTCTTTTATATATTTTGGAAATTTATATTTTTTTTATTATAATAAAAAAAAAATAATGATTATTAGTTTTTGACTACCGGGAAAATAAAAACTTTATAAAAAGTATTAAATCGTAATAATATTTATCATAAAATAATAGTAATAAGTATATTTATAGTTTTTACTATCGATAAATAATTTTATATTTTTTCTTATTATCGTTTTAATGGGTATTTATAGTTTTTTCTGATTATTTAAGAATGATAATGTAAAACTTTTCTTTTGAATCTAAAGTTTCTTCGCTACTTTTATATATATTTATTGTGTGCAAAAGATATTTTATTTGAAATATACAGTAATATTAATAAAAATAAAAAAGTATTAATATATAATACTTTTCTAGAAACTTATTATATATTTATTTTATTTAAAAGATTTGTACAATATTTATATATACATGAATTTCATAAGGTATATATAAATATGTTACTTATTTCTATTTTTTATATTTAATTTGTTAAAAGTATGTGTAAATAAATTATATATATATATATTGTATTTTTTAGTGCTATATATCTCCGTTGTATTAACTTTTTGTAAGTATTTATATATATTATACTTTATTAATATTGATATATTTATTATAATTCAAAGAGTTTATATTAATATAAATTATTTGAACATATATACTATTTTTTTTTATGTATATTTATATTGTAACTTTTTGAAGTATTTATAAATATAATAGTACAATTTTTGTTTATATTTATATTATAACTTTTTTTAAGGATTTGTCTATAAATTTTGTATCTTTTTATATTTGTTATATTTAATAGAATACGTATAAATATACTATTTGTAGTAAATATTTATAATAATAGAATATCATTAATAGACATTATAACTACTTTTTTAAAATATACTTTTTTATGGAATAATATTACCATATCGTTATATTTTCAGTGATGATGTAACATTTTTATATCTTTAATTTTTCAAGATTTTTTCGAAGTATTAACTATTATTATAAAGTATTGGTATATTATATATTTATTTTATATAACTAGTTATATACAGTATTTTATTATAAATAAATATATTTTATTTACGTAGTTATATTATTTCTTCTTTAGAATTATTATTTTTTTAATATATAAATATTATATTTTTCATATTTTATATCATATAATTAATATATTTATATTAATATCATTATTTTTGAAAAAATCCGTAGAAATATATTTTATATAAATATATAATAATATTTATATATATATTTATATTATAACTTTATACTTTTTTCATAAACTTTTTTTATATATTTTAATTTCTTTTTAGTCTGAAGAGTGAACTTTTTGAAAAAAACAAACTTTTAGAAGCCCAACGAACTGAACTTGAAGATCTTCGAAAGAATTATAATAATCAGCAATTAGTAATAATTTTTTTCTTAAAGTTTTTATGATTTTTTTAATATTCCGCAGAATTATTATCATTAGCTGTTAGTATTCTATTTTTATAATTATTTATTTTATATTATTAATAATATAATAATTATGTAACTTTTAGTATTTTTTATATATAAATTTATAATAATCATGTAAATTTTTATATTTTGTTATCTTTTACTACTTATTTTTTTTACATTTTATAATAATTATATGACTTTTACTAATTTTTTTTTTTAAAAATACTTAAACAAATTATTTACTTTTTAAAACTTTTAAACAGTTAATATAGCAAAATATATTTTTTGAATAATTTTTATATTAGCATTTTTTATTTAGTAATTTTCATATTTTTTTAATTTTTCGACAGAATTTCTTTTTTATTTACTTTTTAATATTTTATTTTATTACTTCTTTATAGAATTATAATATTTACTCCTAATTTTTCTGTAATTTTTTATAGATTATTATATTTAGTTATTAATATTTTTATTTTTGAAGTTCAATTTTTGAGATTTTAATATTTAATTTTGTTTTGTAAAAATTATAAAATATTAATTATAATTTTCAGTACTTCACAGACTTTTAAAGGACAATAAATAATAATTCATAAAGTAAATTTTTATTTATTTTAATATTAATCATTAGTAATATATAAAATCCTCATCTATTTTATAAGTTTTTTCCAGAATTTTATTTTTAGTTATTAACGATTTTAATATTTTATTATTTTATTATTTAATAATAAATTATAAATTTTATGAAGACTTTTACAGCATAAATATATAAAATATTCTAAATTTTGTTATTATTTGCAATTTTTTATATATAATTTACTGAAATTTTCTATTTGTTAATATATAGAACGAGTAATTTATTAAAATCATTATTTATTGCCTCAATATTTTATTTTATAATAATTATAAATAAACTAATTTATTAGCTTCACGGGATTTTTATAGATTATAATATTTTGAGGACTTTTTTATTACTTCCAAATATTTATAAATTTATAAAGAATTATTATATTAAGATGTTAATAATACTAAAGTTTTTAACAGTTTTATATTTTCATTAATTAGCAATTCGTTTTTTCTATAAATATAGTAAGAAGTAAATATATTTTTCGATGAACTTATTATTATTGGCTTTCTGCAACGTTTTTAGTACTTTTTTTTTTATAACAACAAGATTATGCTTTTTTTGGGTTGTGTATTTTTTTAAAGAGTAGTCGTAATAGTGATGAGCGGCATTATAATTTATGAGTTTTTTTCCTTTTTTTTAATGAAAATCATTGTTTTTTAATATTATTATAATATTATAATTACTATTACAAAAGTTGATAAATTTTATTTTATAAATAATTTTCTGATTTAACTTTTTTCTAATAAAAGTTTTTATTTTTTTATGTTATTTTAATATTTTCATTATTATTACAAAAGTTGATAAATTTTTAATATCTTTTTGGTATGAAATTTTTTGTAGTTTATAATATTTCATTAAAGGTTTTACTGGTTATTCTTATTGAGTTTGTATATATTTTTTTCTTATTTATAACTTATCAGAATTTTTTCGAATGAAAAATTATATAATTTTTTTGATTTTATTATATTATGAAAATAATTTGTTTATTAAAAGTTCTTTTTATTACTGTTACAAAAGGTGTTATATTTCTTACAGTTTTTATATATAACTTTATATATTATTTTACTTGTTTATTAATATTTATTTTAATTTTCTGAAATAATATTAATTATAAACAGGAAAATTATATAATTTTGTAAAAGAATTGTTAATTATAAATTATATAGTAATAATACTAATAACTTTTACTAATAGAAAATTATTTAGCTAGCTGGAAAAAAAAAATAAAAAAATAATTCCTTTAAAGGTTTGATATCATAATAATAACAAAAATATCGAATAGATAAAAACTTTTATAAAGAACTTAACGGGATTTAATATAGTAATAATAATAAATAAAATATAATAGAAAAGCAAAATATACATATATTTAATGAAAATAACAAGCCCCTCTTATAATAATTAATAAATATGTATAGATAAACTATATAAAGAAAACTACACAATAATTGTAATAATTATAATATTAAATTATATATAAAAAAGGTTTAAAGTAAAACTCTTTATAGAAAAATAAAAAATAAAAAAAAATTATTATTAAACTATAATTTTTTATCATTAATTTTTTTTATTACCAATAAAATAAAATATATATTTTTTCATTATTCGAACTAATTTTTATTTATATTATAATAATTTTATTGTAAATATAATTTATTATTATTATATTATTATTATTATAATTCTCATTATTTTATAATATCTTTTTTTTTTACTTTTTTAAATTTATATTAGTAATTTTACTTTCACTTCTTTATTTTTATGGTATTAGGACGTAATAATTTTTATACTACATTCTTTGGTTTGTTGTATTCTTGGAAATTTATTTATATTTTTTTTCTATCAGAAATAAATCGCAAAATTAATAATACTTAATAATAATAAAAACTGAAAAACTCAAGAATACTTTTTGATTACTTTCTATTTTTTTTAATTATTTTATTATTTTAATTATTATATAAAAATTAATTAGTGGTTTTTATATGAAAATATTAATTTTATTAAAAAATTTATAATATTATAGGCAGAATTATTCTATTTAGCAATTCATAATCTATTTGATTTTTTTTAATATCTTATAAATGTTCGAACTGCTTTTTATAGAAAAATATTGAATAAACATTAGTTAGTACAAAAAGAAATATAAATAAAATGAGGAAATAATACTATAAAATATAATACAATGTAACAAAAATAAAAAACTTTCGTTAAAAATTAATAACTATTATATAATAATAAAAGTAATTTTTTTTATTTTTTATTTTTTTATAAAAAACAATTAAACTAAAACTTTATATTAAATATTTTCCATTCTTTTTTAAAAAAAGTATTAATCTTAATTTTTATTTTTTTCTGATTAAAAATTATTTAATATTTTTAATGAAAGTAAATTTAAAGTAAATTCACCAACAGTTAATAAAAATTATAAATTAAGTACATTTATTTCTATAGTTTACAAACAAACTAAAAATTTTACTTGAAAGGAAATTATTATTTTCAATATGTTGTTAATAAAAGTATTTAATAATAAATAAACTAAATATTTTATTTTTTTTGTATTCTATAAATTATAAATAAAATTATAAATTAACCAAATTTAAAGTAAAATTTATTTTATTTATATAACTATAAAAATTAGAATGTAACCATAAACAAGTACAACAAAAATTTTTTAAAAGAAAAATATAAATTTTATATATTTATAATTTTTTTTAAATTTTTAAATAAACTAAAATTTGTTTATACTGAAAATAATAATAAAAATTTTAAGATAATTATTCATATTTAGTAGAAAATAATATAATTATTTTTTTCATAAAGATTTTATAAGTTTATTTAAAATTTTAGACAAATTAATGTATATTTTTTATATATTTATAAAATAATTGAAGGTAATTGCTTCTCTTGAAAAGTGCTTGGAAGAAGTAACAAAAGATTATGCTGCCGTGGGTGGTTCGCACTTTTTTGTTTTTTTTATTATTATTAATATCTATTAATATATTCAGTTATTATCATATTTATTGGTTATTGTTGTTTAGTATAAACAGATTCATATATTGATTTGTATTTCTTATTATTAATATTTTATTATTTTATAAAAGGTAATAAGAATCCCTCTCAAAAAATAAGACTTTTTCAAAGAAAACTTGAAGATATTAATATCCTTATAAAAGTTTTTTTTATAATTTATTTTGTAATTATTATTTTATTATTGTATTTTTTAAATTTTTTTTAAATTTTTGAATAATATTTTTATTAAACTTTTTTTCTGTTAATTTATTTATTGTTTAAATTTTTTTTTTTATCTTAAATTTTTTGTACTCTTAATAAAGTTATTTTTTATTATTTTTTAGTTTTTTATGTATTATTTATTCACTATTTACTTTTATTTTTAGATTTTCTTCTAATTTTAGTTATTTGCTTATAATATTTATAATTGCTACTGCTCTTTACAAATTCTATAATTTTTTTTAAATAATTTGTTTTGACTTGCTTATTAACTTTATAAAGTTTAGTTATTAATATTATTTTATATTTCTCAATTTTCTTTTAAAATAGAAAATTTACTTTTTAACTTTTTTATATTATTTTTATTTTTTTGTTATTTTTTTTTTAACTTCTTTAATTTTTTTTTTTTTTAGAATTTTTTCAAAAATATTAAATAGTTTATTTTCTATAGGAAAATACTCGACTTTCCGCATTACTAAAACGGTACGGAATCCGCGAGTGCTCCGGAGATAAAGAAAATTGTTGGAATGAAAAAGGATTGTGCAAATGAGTATTTTTATTTTTAAAATAAATACTATAGGGAAAAAAAAGCAAAAGAAAAGTTTCTCGTGAATCAATAAATTTAATAAAAGTGAACTACAAATTTTTTAGAATATAATATATAAATTTATTATATAATTGTTTGCTATTCGGAAAAAAAATTGCGAAAAAAAATAAAATTTAAAATACAATATTACTTTATTATTGATTTACAATAATTAATTTTATTTTTTGTCTTTTAGTAAATAAATAAGAGTAAAAAGAAAAAGAAAAAAATGACAAGTTTTTCGTAAAACAATAATAAATTTATAAAGTAATGAAATAGTCCTAATATTTTATTGATATTGTTGTGCTGCATTTGCGTTAATTGTTTACTATTTGAAAAAATATATATATCTGCACGTAAAAATTGAAGTAAAGTTAATCTAAATAATAAATAAAATTAACTATTTTAGAAAAAGTTATTAAACATTGAATTATATAGTATTACAATTTTTAGTTTTCAAAATGTTTTACTTTTTATTTGTATTGATGATAACTTTTCTTATTAACTTTTTATAAATTATTTGAGTCTCTAGCATGCTTTATTGTTTAGTAGCAAACTCAAGCGATATTGTTTACTTTTTTTACTTATTTATTACAATAAATTTATTATATTCATAATCATTTATTTATACATTTTTTATTTTTACTATATTTATTTATATTTGGTATATATATTAGTACTCTTCATTATATTTACTTTTATTTATATTTATAATCATTATGTACTTATATTTAATTTATTATTATTATAAATATATATATATGCTTATTATGTAGTTACTTATTTTTATTTATTTATACTTCATTATTGATCTATTTATTTTTATATATATGCATTATTCTTCATTTTACATTATTATTTATTTTATTTTATAGTTTTTAAAGTTATAAGAATATATAATAATTGGTTTTTTTAAAAATACTAATAAAAATGATATATATTAAATTTGGACAGAAAATAATTAGTACAGACTTTTTTTATTTTCTTTATTATAAAAAAATACATTTAATTAAAATATTAAAATAATTAATTGTTTTATTAACAATAATAATAATAAAACCAAAGCTACTAATAATTTTACAAAGTTTTCAAAACTATTAGATACTAGTTTAAATCTATTGGGGCTTAAATAAATAAAGAAGAACTGATAAATTTAAAATAATTTTTTGCTTTTCAATAATTTTATGGCCAACAATTTGTTTAATGCTCAATTTTTTAGCGAACTTTTATATCAACGAGTTAATATTTTTAGTAAGCAGCCCAAAATGGATATTTATTTATTTATTTATTTTATAAAGGACTTATAAAAGAATTTTCAGTTATCTTCTTTTTATAATTTTTTATAATTTAAATTTAAAGGAAAACCGATAAAAGACATTAGTGTGACGATAGTACACTTTTTAAAATTTTTTATTAATTGCATTTAGTTTTAAAAAAGTCTCAATGTCTGCTTATTCTCTACGCTGAGCAAGAGATTTGTAAAGTTAACCAGAATTTGGGCTGAATCGATTTCTTCAATTAAGCAGACCAGGTTTTTGGTATGCTCAAACGTATAGCATGTGGACCTTTGGAAAAATAAAAGGCACGTCTGCAATTCTACAAAAAACGGATATGTAACTTCGGGGTAAAGCAGAATTGTAGCACATAACAGATGGTGGGTGGAATTGAAATATCTAATTATGTAGATGAAGCTTTTGAATCCCCGAAAGTATAGCATGCCAGCCGTTAAAAAATGGTGCTTCGGAAGTGCTATAAAAAACGAAAAATTGAGTGCTATCGGAGTTAAGCAGGGGTTTTACAAGGTTTCGACTGAATAAAAATCTGATCTGAGTAGATTATCTTATTGTTGCTAAGCAAACCGGCCGTTAAAAAAAAAAAAGAACAATTCAAAAATTGTGAGTAAAGCGGAAATTTTCAAATATTCACGAGATATTCGTTTGAATCAAATCTTATCGGTCGTTAAAATAATAGTGGTACTTCGGAAGGACCATAAACAACTAGTATTTGAGTAATTTTGAAGTGAAAGGAGCCACATTGGAACACCGGATTGATAAAAAAAGCATTCTGGTGTTAATGACCACAAAAAGCGGACTACCTTTTTAATTTACAAATTGATATACTCAATAAGTAAAACTTACATGTTAAATATTTTAAGTAAACCTTTAATAAATATCGCTTTTAACATTAAGGCTAAAATGCAATTTTGAATTGGTTACTCTGCGATAAATGTACATTTTTCTTTATAAACACTAGACAAGTTTGGAAGAAAACAGTCAGTCATATTTGAGTAAAGACTTTTAACTGAATGTTTGTTAAATATCTTCTTCAGGCTATATGTTTAATTCTTAATATAATTTTTTAAACGCCTCAAAAGTTATAAAAAGAAAAAGGGAGTGCAAAGGGGCACTTTATATTCCAAAAAATTCTACAGGAACATTGTCATTGTCTAAGCAAATCTGAAACTAAAAAGTTGTAAATTTTGTAAAAAAATATTGCTTTTCATAAAACGAGAAAATTAAACCAAAATTTATAAAAATTTTTGCAAATTATAGAACTCTTCCTTTGCTTTTATAGGGGATTACTCTAAACTCCAAAAATAATCAGCTTATAAACAAGTGCTTTACCGTTAAGAGGAAGATATGAACTTAAAATATAAAGAAGCAATGTAACTTTGAAAATAATAAGGAAGACCCCTAAAATTAAAGTGAGAAAAGGAGATCCTGGTATTAAACTGAAGGTTTTATTAAATCTGTGTAGAAAATAAAACTTAACTATTTTAGAATTTTGTAGGGAGGTAAACTATTTAGTACTGCCATAAGGACACTTTTAAAAAGCGATAATAAGAGCTAGTGAGAAGGTTTACACAATCAGTCTACACATAAAATTTGAGGAAGCTTGCTGGTATCCTCTTTATAAATTAAAACCTCTTGGCTCTTTAGGAAAGCTCTTTTGCTTTTAAAAAGTTTGTTGTTTAGCGTTGATAAACGACTAACTTCCAAATACTTTATTTTTAAAGTCTAGTTTTAAGTGTGCTTCGCTCGAAGCAATTATTACTTTAAAAATAACAAAGCTACTTTCTTAGTTTTCTTAACATTTTCTGTGAGAAGCGGATATACCAGTTCAGAAAACCTGAATTCACTTAAAAAAATTTACGAATATTGCAAAAGTGAATATGCCAAGTTTATAAATTTTAAAAAAAAAAGATAAAAGGCAATGTAAGTTATGTAGTACAGGTAATTAAAACTTCCAATAATATAAAGAGTAAAGTTACCCAAATTACAACAACAGATCTATTTAAAGAAAAGAGAATTAATTATAATATTATTCAAGCACTTGCTTTCCTAGTTTTAAAGCTTTTATTCCTTAACTGATAATTTTTTCCTTTAAGTAATACTAACTTTTTATAAGAAAACCTTATCAACTTTTTTCCTCACAGTTTTCAATAAAGTCTTGTTATGATGTCGTAAAGGCTTATATTTTGATTTCATTATATTTCATAAGATACATAACTCAGAATATATTTTAAAATTATTTTTATCCTTTTATATTTTTACTGTTACTAAACTCTCGAACCAAAAAAAAATTTAACAGGGAACAAAAACCAACTCGGTTTTTTTTAAATAAAGAAGGATTTACAAAAAAAGTTTCCTGTATTATTCCGAAAATTTTTTATTAAAAAGTAATAAATAAGCCTAAGCAAAGATCAATTCCAATCCAACTATTTTATTAATTTTTACAAAGTTTATAATGTAACACAACTTTTTGTTAGAAACAATAACAAAAGGAACTAAAGTCTTTATAAATAAACTAAGACAACGTTAACTCTATAGAAACCCCAATTTAAAATGTAAATAAACTTACCATTTAAAGACTGGGAACGCTCAAGGTTTACAAATAATCTATTATATATAGTTAATTTAAGCGGAATTTTACAAAATGTGGAGTGAAATAGTATATACAAAATTTTTTTTTGCCAATAATATAAATACTTAAAGGAAAAAAATAAAGAATTAGTGTTACTTTTGATTTAATATTGGAGTAGTCTGGAATTTTAAAATTTGGAATTTTAGAAGATTTTCGGGGAGTCAAAGGGGCCTAAACAAAAAATTTAGGATATGGCTTGATGGAACGAGGTTGATATGAAAATAAAATGTGCCTCAGAAGCCGTAAAATCCAACTTTTTGTTGGAGAGCTCGAAATTTTTATTGGTAACTTTTCTGCTGTTTTCAGATAAAGAACCAATCTATTTTGAATAAGCTCGATGGCCAAATATAAAAAATGTATTTATATTTCTTATAAAGTATATGCTATAGAAACCTCATTTATACTATAAATTTATATAAAATTTTTAAATCTGCTAACAATTTATAGGAGTATTTGTAAAAAGTAAATTATATCGATTGAAAAATAAGCCTAAACTTGCCTTAGACTTCACATGGGAATAATCGTATTTGTATGTAGGCGTTTGAATATTCCCTCCTCTGGTAACAAAATTAATATTTTCAAAGGATTTAACCTAAAGAAAAAGTACAAAAAAAATTTGAAATTTACTATATATATGAATATAAAGAAAACTTTTTAAACCACCAACAGATCACATTTTATAGTGATACGTATTTTTATATCATCTTTAAATCCATTTTTTTGATATTACATAACATATTTTATAGAACTAAAAAGTTAAAAAAATAAAAAAAAATAACTATAAGTTTAATATAAACTAAGCAGTAATAACTCTATAGGGTATCAAATTAGTGTACGACATAAAAAAACTCTACTCTCTAGGCTTATTAAATATAAATAATTGAGAAGTAATAAATAAAAACTTAAAAGTATTAACAAATTGGTTTCACAAAAATACCTACTATATTTATTTAGGAAAATCTATAAATATCTAGTAAGAGTAGCAGAGTTTATTACTATACTTAAATTTTAATTATAAATAAAAACGTTATAACTGCTGAAAGCCAAAATTGCACAATTACTTTAGGTTTTATAGAAGAAAAGTTAAGTTTTTTAGCTGCAGGAATAGTAAGTTTACCACCTTTAGAAACATAATTTTTATTTTCTAAAGAGCCCACCTAGTAACAAGTAAAATAATATTAGCGATTTTAAAAAATAAAAGGCTAAAGAGTCTACTTTTGCTTTAACATGCGAAAAGTTTTTTTTAGGTGGTGTTTTTTTATCAGGGTTATATTCATTGTTAGCCAGTTCTTTCTGTTCAGAAATTTATATAATTAATACTATTATTATTTTTGATATTATTATATTTATGAATAAAGAGATAAACTTTTAAACTATAAATAATATCTAGGTAGGGGACGACCATGGCGGAAATCCGCGAAGGAAAAACAATTTCTGTTCTTCAAGTTTTAATATAAGTACGAAAGGTTAAGTCATTTATATGGCTAAATCAAATGATCATATAATAGTGTTAATATTAATAAGTTAACTTAATATTTGATTGGTTTTCTAAAAGAATGCCAGTTTTTACGATGTTACTCTTTGTTATTGCTTTGGGTGACGGTATGTTCTCTATTAGGTTTCAATTTTAGCATAAGTAAAAGTAAACTTTCCAGTTAAGAGAAACCTGATGGAGAGGGTGAAGTCATCTGCAATCTTTATAACCTTGACTATTTACAAACTTTTGCGATAGTTATCTTTGACCGGTGACTAGAGCTGTTTTAAGTAAAAGTAAACTCCATCTATCTTCAACCCCCGTCTTTAGGGCTTTCGTCTAGTAGCAACCTCACTATGCATGGTTTCATGTACATTCGGCCCTTAAAAATCAGTAGAGGTTCACTAATATCCGTTTTACAAAGCTTAGTTACTGCCTACTTTAATGCCTTTCTTGCAGATAAGGATCGGGTGTGCTTATATTCTATGAAAAAATTGGATGATCACTTTGAAGGGCTAAAAAATAGCGCAGAGGGCTCATCCTGCAAACGCCTGACTATGTTAAGTCTTGCATACTATTCCCAGCCTTTAAAATTTAGCTCTAGCACTTTCACCATCATTACCATCTCACTAATCCTTTTCACATGAATAAATATATCGCTTTTGCAGTTATACAACAATTTTCAAGTTTCTGAAATAGAACAGTTTTAAATTAGTTTTAAAAAACCTTTAAATGGCCTTGGGTTATAATTGCCCAAGTATATATTTAGACTTTCATATTTTTAAGGAAAGGTAAATGACTTTAAAATTATCGATACTAGAAGCTATTTAATGAAGGACTCATGTTAAGGTAAAGAAAATCCTTCATTCCGCAAAATTCAAAGTTATGAAATTTTGGCGTGGGAAGTTTTTTTGTTTTAGTGGTTAGGAATCTGAAAAGAACTTAAGCTCGCCCAGGTTGTTGTAATTCGATGTTAGAAACAAAATGTTTATATAGCTAAACTTAAGAAACGAGATTACTTAGATAAAAAGCTACCTCTACAGCACGTGGTTAAAATTATGATGCAAATTAGAAAACGCACTATTAGCAGCTTTGGGCAAATGTGATAAATCGCCACTAATTTTTGTAAAATATTATCTAATACAAATAGTTTATTTGATAGAATATAAAAATGTATCCTTATATGTATATTTATTTTTTTAGAAAACAAATGCTTGAAATTTCTTATCTGCTCCACGTTCGTGCCTTAACATTTTGTTCGTCTATCTATAAGCTATAATTATTAGACTAGCTTGTCCCGTATTGCAAAATTGTCGCAATTGTTATAGATTCTAGTCTCCAGGTTTAGAAATAAAAAACTCGTAATTAGTTTTCTAGAATTTATAACAATTAGTAAATAGAGAAGAGTTTAATAGTTAATGATCTTATTAAATAATTCAAACCGTATTTGGTAGCTAAAATCAAACTAGAATTCTACTTATTATAGTAATCAAGCCTCTTATAAAAAGAAAGCAGCTTTGGTGTGGTAAAATTGAAGCGAAGAGTACTATTACTATTTATCGAATGGTATACTCCCGATCGCATGGTAGCTTTTTAATCCCTTTGCTTAAAGAACTCAAAATATTATTTTTAAAAGCAAAGGAACTATTTAACAGTTTTTTAAATATATATGCTAGATGAAACAATCCTCCGCCTCGCAACTTTCAATTAGAGGCCTTGGACCATGTCTTTTCAAACTCCTGTACACTAGTCATCTACTGGCAGGGTGAGTTTAGTTAGAGCGTCCAAGCGTGCGCATGTCAGGCACGCAATGCACTTTAGGATTAAGTTTAAAGTGAAGACTAGACCGCCCTCTCCATAAAAGTAATATTATTTTTAGTCTAAAGGGTTCCAGTGTATACTTAGGTTTTATTATAAATAACGAAACTAACTAAAAAAATTAAAGCCGAAATTAGATTACAAGGTTGATAAAGAGCATTTTTTAATATACTTATTTATTTTAATGGCTTAAAAAAATTAATAATCAGGTTATCGTAAACCTGGACGCAAAGAGAGGTGGGTATTCTTATCTCCATAGAAGTTATTTCCCTTAAATTATTCGCAGAAGCTGTTTTACAGTAGAGTATATTGTGAGCTCTTCTTTTTATAAAGCTCGCTTTAATGTCTATTCAGTTTACTACTATATTCTTATAATATAAGTTGCGTAAAGAATTAGTTACATATTTATTCTCTATCAGGATTTATATATGTATTTTTATTATTAAGTTTTATTATTTTTTAAAATAAAGTTGAGTTTCACTTTAGTTAACCAATTTTTTTGAGTGTTATTTATATTACCCTGTCTCGGGCTTTCTGGCTTTAAAATTGAGAAGAGAGAGAACTCTACCACTTTAAAGTGTTTTGTAAACTTTTTTAAAAGACCAAAAATGGCTCAACTCTACAGTTTCTATGCTACTCTGAGTGCCACATAAAAGACATTTCAAGAATCTTGTTTCAGTTAGAGTTCCACTCTTATTATTGTTTATAAAAATGGTACTAAGGCAAAGTCTTTTTTGCATAATAGTATATACGAGATGGTGATTATTGTAAGTTGACTAAAAAAAAATATTTCGCAGAAGCATGCCATTTTTGCCTGTTAGTATTGACTCAAAGCTTTACTTACTCTAAATCTGAAATGAGCTATTTAACAACTTAGTAACCTCACTTCTTTTTAGGCCTAGACTTTTGTTTGCTTTATAAGTATATATCTAGTTAACTATCCGTTTCAGTTCAACTCAAAACCAGTACAATTTATTAAGTCCAGCCAATAAATTTTTTCAGTGAATTTCTCCTGATTAATGCCCGAGAATAATAAACTTACTCTTATCGTAGACTTAAAATCTTAGAAGTATTAATAGGAAATTTATATATATTTACCATGACCTTCGTGTTTTAATTACTTTATTTTATAAATTATTATAATTTAGAAATTTTTATCCTAAAAATTTTAGTAATTCATAAAATCTTTTAACTTTAAACATTGTAGAGGATAATTATCTACAAGCAAAGGAAAAACTATAAAAGTTGAATTGTCTTAACTATGCACACTCTGTAAAGGGTTAGAACGTTATCGACTCTAATAAATTGTTACGGCTTTGAGCTTATGCGGCTCTTCTACCTAATATCTTCTATTTTTAAAGCTAAAGAGCATTAAAAAAAAATGTCTGTATTGCATCGAAAGGATGATATATTAAGCCTTCTGAGTATTTTTGATTCTATAAAGAAAACTTTTGTAGAAAACGACGTGTTTTTGAATCCAAATTTGAAGTGGTAATTTAGTAGTATTTCGTGTAAACATCCTTTAATATTCCAATTTTTTTTTATTAGCTAGTTGATTAATTAATATAATAGTAAGTTATATATATTATATACCTGTTATTAATGCTAAGTAAGAATTTTATTTTAGCCCTACTATATTATATGAATATCTTTGGACAATGTAGGTTTAGTTAAATAACTAAGTTATAATTTCTTTTATTTTCCCTCTAAAGAAAATGCATTTATATTAAACTAACGAGAGTAGGGATGATTTACTTCATAAATTCTCTTCCTGGTCTGGAAACTTAAAGTTACTAGAACACCTGCTGTTAAACACTACCTCTTATTCAAAAACATTTCCTGTTCCTACACAAGTGACTACTTTTATTACTTTAAACCTTAAATTATTGTATAATTTTTATAAATTAATTAAAGTTTTCTTCAGAAGATGAAGATTTAAAGGAATTAACTGAAGGAAGAGTTCCTTCCTTTTCTCCTGGAATTTGTAAAAACCTTTTTTTTACTGAAATATATTTGACTTAATATTTTTATAATAAATAGGTAGCAGATTATTCCGAACCAAAAACCTTTTGGAAGTCGAAAAATATATTGAAGAATTTCTTCCAGAAGAATCTTTCCCAGAAGTGGTTAATAAATTCAAATTTTTAATGTAAATTTTTATTTGCCCCTTATTAACTTTTTTTTACTATTTTTATTATATTCTTCCTAAATTATACTTTTATATACTTAAAGTAAACTCTATATATTCCGCTTATATATTAACTATTTATAATTTAAATATACCTTACTTTTTTATATTAACAATGTATAGTGATTCTTCTTTTAAACATAAAAGCTATACGACTATATTATTTTTTACACTTTAATAAATTTTTAAAATTAATGTTTTATATTTATATTTTCGTACTACACTTTTCTTTGTCTTAAATTTCTATATCACCGTTTCTATATATAATATTTATTCGTCTTTTAAGAATAAATTTTCCATTAAATAAATACGAAAGCTTATACCTATATAAAATTAAAATTTTAATTTAAACTGAGTCAGAAATTTCATAAGGGAAACTTTTACTGTATTTAGTAGCTTTTATATATATCTTTTAAAATTAAAACAAGATTTTATAAGAAGTGCATTCTTTATTAAAGCTTAACCTCTTTGACCAATAGTTTAGAATAGTTTTATTTTTATTTGCTTAGAGCTTTTTATTTTTTTTATTTTTCAAATCGAAATCTAATAATTTTAAATTTTTAATAATTGTTAAGAGATTATTGAAAATAAATTTCTAAAATAATTTTTAAAATTTGTGTAAAATTTTAATTTAGACAGAAGAAGACATTGAAATTTATAATCGTTCTGAAATTTATTCTCGACTTCTCGCACAGCTTGATTCTATGAAATGTGAATCTTTTTTAAATACAGAGCACAAGCTTACTTATAGCCATGACGACACTAACTTTTTACTTCGTACAATATTAACAGGTTTTCTAAATTTATAATCAAAATTTTAGAAACTATGAATTAATGTTCACTGAATATTTTTAATTAAATATTAAATTTATATAAAATATAATTTTGTGATCGTAGTTCAAAAGTATTTTCTAGCATTTCTAAATAATTTTTTATTATTTTGGAATTTTCATAAAAAAAGAAATCTTATTAAAGTTTATTTAGGCTGAAATACATAAGGCGAATAAAAATTAATTTATACCAAGTTTAACTAGTAATTAAGTAATCTAAAGAGCCAGAATTTACTTTATTACAAATTATTTATATTTAATTAATAGATTGTCTTCTTTACTATTAGTTGATACTCAATTTTCTAATACGTATATAAATTTAATTTATACATCTAAATTCTCAGAAAAGTGGTTGTTTTTATTTTCATTTTTTTTATCTTCTCTGAAAAATATGACATTTTTTATTTTTTTATTTCTCTTTTTATATATTTTAGAAGAAAAGTATTTTTGTTACAAATTTCTTTAAATTTTTTATTTCTCTCATTTTGTTAATTTTAGTTAAAATGTATGTTTTCTTATAAAAATACTTTTTTAGTAATTCTTTTAATTACTATAAAAAAGTCAATTTTATTCTATAAATTAAAATTGTTGTTATCGAATTGCGCCGTATACTTATTATTATAAAACTTTTCACGTACTTATTATTATTAAGATGAGATTTTTATTTTTTGCTAAACTTTTTTTTCTAACTTATATTTTAACTATAAAAAATAAATACGAAGAAGTTTGTGTGGTTTCATAGAAATAAAAGTATATAATAAAGTATATAAATTAACAAAAAAAATAATGCGTATATATAATATTGTATTAAAATATTAATAATAAGTTAACCCACCACTCTTCAGCATTATTTTTAAATAACTTTATAATAATATATTTATTAATAAAAATATTAATAGAAAACTATTATTATTTTTATAAATATTTTAAATATACTTATAATAAAAATATTATTTATTTATACATATTATTAATTATTTTATATTAATAGTTATAAATATATTTATAATGTTATTAATAGATTATTATATGAAAGATTTATTAATATTTTATTATTATTACTTATAATACATAATATAGTTTTATTAAGTTATTATTATTATTTATTCGTTTATTAATATCAATATTTTGACTTTCCTCAAGCGGTAATGATTATTTTATTATTATAAAGTTTAGATTTATTAATAATTTCTAAAATTTATAAAATAGTCAGTATTTTTATTATTACAAATATTTTTCAACAATGTTTATATTATTTGTATTTTTATATTATATTATTATATTTATATTTTATAATTATAAATCATTTTATTTTAATTGTTTATTTAATATTATTTTGTTAAAAATTACCTTTTACTAAATATACTAGTTAATCGTTTTTATTATTATAATTATTTAATAATAATGCTCAGAAAATTGTTTATTTTTTCTAATATTATCAATATATTATATTTAATAATTTTTTTAAAATTTTTGCTGTTTTTCATATTAATCGGAACTTTATTTTTATTAATTAGTATTTAAAACTTAACGAATAAGAAAATATAAACATTAAAATATTTATAGAAAGTTCAAAATAATAATTATAAATAAATAATAATAAATAACATTTTCAGACAAAAATAAATACAATATTTTTTAAAAAAAATTGTGTTATTATTATTTTAAGTGTTTATTATTCTATTTAAAATTTTTATTATAATAAATATATATAAAATAAATATTTTTAGAGTTTATTATTTTATATATTTCTATTATTATTGAAAGTTTTTTTAATTATTATCATCATAATAAATTATATTTTAATGTAATTATTATTGTAATTTCAACGTTTTATTAATATTATTAAAAGTTTTTATTTTTAAATTATGATATATATGCGGTAACGTTGACTTTTACCATTATGCAAAGGTTTAATTTTTTTAATATTAAATAGTATTTTCAATAGTTATAAACAATTTTATAATTACTATAATTATTTTATTATAATAAAAAGATTCAATCCTGTTCCGTTGTTTACGTTAAATACAGCAATAAATATCATTATTAATTCAAAACGTTTTATTATTAATTTTACTTAATTTTTTTAATACATTTTTAAGTAAATAATATTATTATATATCATAATAATGTAATAAACATTTATTTAATATTATTAACTATCATTTTTTAACAATAACTTTATTAGTATAATTTTTTAATAGTTTATGTTATTATTAATTATATAAATTGTTAGAAGGAATTAGAAAATTTTATTTCATGATAATTTTAATATAAAAATTTATAAAGAAATTTATTTCATTTTTTATTATTATATTTACAATACAATTTTTAAAATTACAATAATTTTTAATATATATTCTTTTTTAATTATATATATATTATCAAAAGGTAATGGTTTGCCCAATCTACAGCAACACCAAAGCCCATTGAACCAACGCATCAATGATAGCCCAATAAGCGACATTTCAACGCTTGATCAGCCAATGACTGCTACACCCGAAATTTTTTCTCAAACCTCCTCAGTAGCGCTAATGGAATCCTCGGCAGATACTTTTGTTAAGGAGCCAATCGCAGTAGAAAAAAGTATTTCTCCATTTTCGAGTCCCATCTTTTCGCCGATTCGACCCGGCTCGAAGGATTTGATGTTTCATAAAAAGTTAAAAGTGGATGGCCGCGAGTCTAGCAAAGTTGATAAAGGAGACAATGTGTTAGAATTTCAAGTTCTCTTTCTACTTATATTTTGCTTACTTACTTCAATCTACACTATAAAAATTTTTTTTTAATAAATTCGATAATTTATGAAATAATTTTTTTTCAGGAGAAATAATGTTTAACTCAAATTATATATATAAATGAAAGCACTTTGGAAGTCCTGTGGTTCATAACCCAGAGGCCATTAAAAAAGAATCTCCGCAAGTCAGGCTAGTGACGCCTCCTCAGCAGGACCACGTGCAACTCCAAAAGTTTTTGCACAACCTCGTGCAACAGCAGAAGTCTAATGAGCAGAATATCCACGTGTTGAGGGGCCAAGTGGAGAAGAATCAATCCTCGTTAAAGCAGATAATCCTGCATATGCAGTTGGTTTCGAATCGGGCCACCCAGCCCTCCACAACTCCACAGCAGCTCGATCTTCTGCAGCAGACACACACGCAGCTGCTCACACAGCAAAACCAACTGGTAATTAAAAAAAAAAATTTGTTATTATTATTACTATTATTAAATGTTGAAAACTGACTACTGACCAGGTGACACTGATTAGTATAGCCCAGTCAAAACTTGCCCAGTTGACTTCCGTCCAACAACAACTGGAACAAAAACAAGCACAGGTTGTGCAAATGTTGTCGGCCACAAACTTTAGCGAGAGTGCTTGTGCCTCCATACGCCTTGAGGGCGGCGGGCGGCCCCAAGAAGGAACCCTACAGAACCTAAAGCAGCTCTTTGCCCAAAAAAAAGCCACTTTTATACGTATCAACCAAAGAAAAGTTTTTTACATAAACTTATTTTTATTTACTACAAGCAGATATCTGGTGACCTTGAGTTACTATATATATATCCATCGTTAGGTTCTTTTAGAACAGCTGGCGCAAAAGCAAGTGCTGAACCAACAAGAGCAAGAAACTCTTAACCGTATTAATATTGTGCATCCTCAACTCTATCAGGAGCTTCAAACTTTGTTCCAAAAAATATCAAAGTCTGAAAACGAAAGCACTCAAGCGTTGTTGGGGCGCGTGACAACTCAACCTGCTTCTGGTGGGTTAATGCCGGTCTTTATTTTTGTTTCAATTGTTATTACAGTTATTATGTTGCAGTATTTAATTTTACTGAAGAGCAAATCCAAACGGCTGTAAGTCATATTCTCAAAAATTCTAATGTGGATTTATGTAAGTTGAAAAAGTTATTTCTCTTCTCTCATTTTTTTTTAATACTAGCATTAAAGAATACTTTATTTTTTTTATTTTTTTTGGGATATGTTTGTCAAAATCATAGTCTAAAATTTAGACACTGTAAATATAAACTCACTTTATATTTATATTTTAATAAGTAGTTTTAATTATGTTCTTTGTAGCTGCAAAAACTCCTGAAGAAATCCATTTTATTCGCGAATCTTTGCGTGAAAAGGCCATAAGTTTGCTTAACGAACTTTTTCTTAAAAAACAATTGGAATCGAGTTTACAATAAATTTATAATGTATTTACTATTACTATTATTTTAATTATTATTCGAATTTCTGTTTAAGGGAATTACAGGAGTTCAATTAAGTAAGATTTATAAAAAAGTAAGTAAGCCTTTGCCTTCCATTGAGTGTAGATTGAAAAAGGCTATATTATATCACCCGTAAGAAGGAAAGCAATACAATATAGGATATTCAACTAACCGATCTTTTTATATTTTTACGATTCTTTAAGTCTCTTAAAGTAGTATGATTTCTGTTATAAATATTTCTACTTCTTTATAATAGTGAATAAAACGTCTAAAACTAAAATATTTTTGATAAGATATTGAAACTGGTTTATAATAATTTATCTTTCCTTAGATATATCAATACCTCGAAGAATATTGAAGGGGTTATGCCTCGATTACTAAAAGTTATCTATCTTTACACAAAGTAACAAAGAAAACTAAAGAATAAAAACTGATATATATAAAGGAGAAGAGTTTTTCGCGATAGGAGTAGGAATTTTGGAAAAAAAACAATTATCCTAAGATTAATATTTAACGGTGTATGCACATAATATATGTCTCATTGTGGTACGGTAGTCATATACATTACTAAGAGGAGTATAGCATTCTGTGAGAATATATTAATTGAAGAACAATCGATTTTCCAGATTCTTTGGTTAAGACTGCTACCTTTAATAAGTATACGTCCAAGTAGGGTTGCAAAGATAAATATTAATCAACTTGAAGTTAATAAGTTATAGTACAAATTAAGCGAAGTTGTACGGCTGTCTAGGATGAGCTGGGACTTGAGCCTCTAGAAGCTATTAACAAAAGCCTCTAAGTCAAGGCTAAGACATTGCTTATACTAGATGGATTCACAAATTAAATTAAAATCTTATACTCCACCTTATAATAGACTAGAATAAACTTAGAAGTTAAAAGGGAATAAGAGGTAAACTAGGTATGCGCACTCAATTGAGTTAGTGTACTCACTTACGAAAGCGCAATATTTCGAAACTTATGACTGGCGGCTGATACCGCACAAACCGCAGCAAAGTGGGAGACAGAGTAGTTCAGGCGACGCAGTGATATTATGCACTATTTTTCATTCTGTTACTAGCTTTAAGTTGCCATTTTTAAATCTTAGGTTCCAATAACTTTTTGGTGTCTAAAGTTATAAAATCAAGTAGTGTCAATTGACGTAGGATGTTACTAAAATAAAGTTATAAAGAAAAAAAGATTGGCATGTTCGCACGAACTATTTTATTCATAGATCAGAACATCCGTTAGAAGTTTCAACTACAATTAACTAAGTAATAATTGATGTTAAAAGCTCAAACAATATAACTGGGGTAAATGAGCATTATCCTCAAGTTGATAAGTTCGTTTTACTTTTTCTTATTTTTTCTTTTATATCTTAACTCGATCTTAAAATAGTTATTACCTGATTTTTTTTTAATAAAATTGATAAATTAAAATTAATATAAAGCCCTCATTTTTTATGGAACGATGAAGAGAAAATTACAATTAATCATAATTACGAATGAACCTTAAGTTAATAAGTACCACTTGTTTGTTAAAGACAATAAAGCTAACCTGTACGACTTAAAAATTTTTGAAGAACACTATTTTAAAAAAGTATAGAGAAAGAGTGCACAGAACAATTGTTGCCAGCAACAACATGTTTTTGCTTTACAATTTTTTTCTTTTGCAAGCAATTTTTAAAACTATTTGATTAGCTATTGCGTTCTTGGAAGGCGCTCAAAACCTTCATGATTTTCTAACCTACCACTAACTCTGTTAAATTATGATCTATACGAGCAATAAATGAAACCGTCTGTATTTTTTAAATTATTTCCTAGAGCGCTGCCTTGTGGGGATAACAAATTTATTTATATTTTATGAAGTATATATATATAAAAATAGTATGTTAGGCTTCAAGTGCTCGCTAGCGCCTTAAGGATTTTTCATTTTAATTTCTCTAAGTTAGCTAATGTACTCCCGATTCTACCAGGGAGCTTCAGAACACCTATTTACTTTAAAACAGGACCATTTTTCATGACAAAACAGTTAGCTGGATCGTACTCTGGAACGTTAAAAACAGAAATTAAATAAATTTAAATTTTACGTACTACGGCCTATCCACATTCCACCACAAAGTTTCCAGAAATTAAATCCAATCTAATCTGTCGTGATGGCCAAAGTAGTTACGTGCCGTGGAAGGTTTGTTGCAATTCTTAGGTGTGATATCGCCACATACTCTTTGATTATAAAAAAACAACTTGATCTTCACTGTAACCACTTTAGTCTATATATATTCATGGGACAATACTTTAGTTTTATATTTTTTATAACAGCATTCTTTACAAAACGAAATGGTATGCTTAATTTATATGAATATCATTTTTGATTTGGCGGGCGAGCTTCTTCTTTTACTAATAAACCAAACATTATACTAAATTACGCTAAACACCTAATATTTTTCCTTTTGAAACGCATTTCTAATCATCACTAAATTATCACACTCCTTTACCGTTTCTGTGAGAGCGCTACTTCAAAAGGAGGGTCAAGACACCCTGAACACCTTGCACAAAACCTTTCTCCCACCTACCCTGAAATCCCAGTCAACTTGAACTGCTCAAGTCTACCAACGAATTCAATAAAAGTTCTACATTAATTACTTATAATAAGTAGTTACTAATGGGTTTATCTAACTCAGTTATATGATCAAGTTTTGGTTTTTATCTAATAAACTTTTATACCTAGCAAATACTACTAGTTACAAGACTAGAAGCAACAAATGAAAAGGGATACTTTATTAATTTAATTATTTAAGATTTGATATTTTTTTATTATAAATGTTGTTCCTAAACTCAGCAATTGCTGGCTTAAAAGGTGCGTTATAATAAAGTTCACTTTTTACTAACTTAAAACTAAACAAGTGACAACTAAAAGTCACAATCAAGACTTGTTAATTGGGAGACAAAATAGACCATACAAAACATACATACGAATGCTAATTTCCTACAACAAACAACACCTAATATTTAGTGAAAATATGAAAGATATTTAACAAATAGAAACAAGAGCACATACTCCATTTAATCCAATATAAGTTTATGATACAATGACAACGCTTTAGTAAAATGATCCGATTAATATAAAGGAGAGTGGAACAAATTCACCGAAGCACCGAGAAGGCTCCCCCTTCCTTTACGACACCACTCGAAACTTCCGCTAAACTAAATGGTGCTATTGTCGAATTTGAACGCTCGGTGACGGAAGCCCACAGCAAAGCAACAACGACATGTGAAGTTGTGTACCGCCCTAGACGCCTTCCTGAGGAAATAAAGGCATTAATATGCGAGCTTCAGCGATTCGTCCGAGTAGTCATGGCCCTCCAACGCGCAGAAGACAAACTTGTGCTAAATCACCTTCACCAGCACAGCAGGAAAAAGCTAATGACTCGGCGCATATAAACTGCCTATGGGATAATAAATTAAACGAAGTACCGGGAGTGTGACATCGATCGTGCCTCTCTTTAAAAATTTGTTAAGCGAGTTAGGGACACCAGGCATTTGACTCGACCACCACTTCGCAACGGTGATACAGTAGCCGTAAGCGATGAAGACAAAGCGAAAATTTTTACAGATTATCTAACTGCCCATTGTTTACTGCCTACCCCCTCAACCGCCGACAACGCTCCCCTTGTGCCTAATCTTGACTTGTCTGATACCACTGAGTTTCTGGAGCTGTCTACCACAGAGAGATTCAAATCAATTATCAAATTACTCTCGAAGAGAAAGTCGCCTGGCCCTGGAGGCATCACTAACCTGATGTAGTTGTCAAAGGCTTTTATAAATCATCTATGCGACCTCGTCAACTCGGTGTTGGCCTTTAGCTATATTTTCCCGTGCTATAGAAAATGGCGGAAGTCGCGATGTTATCAAAGATGTCACTAATGGCGTCAGAGTCTCACAACTATCGACCCTTGGCCTTTTGTCGGCAGTTGATAAGGTAGCGGAAGCAGTGATACTTAACCGTTTGAAGGCGGTTGTGGATGCTGGCGGAATTCTACCAGAGTTTCAGTTTGGATTTTGCAATGGTCTCTAAACGACCCAACAAATTCTTCGCCTAGAAGAGTGGACGAGGGGAGTCTTTAAATTCACAAAAGTCATCGGCACTGTTTTTTCGTTGTTAAGAAAGCTTTTAACCGGATATAACACTCGGCGGTTTGTACTGCAAGCTATATGCTTTGGCGATAACGGGCGGCCTTCAAGACGTTCTCAAGTCGTACCTAACCGGTCTGGTCTTCATCGTGCGAGTTGGCGCTGCAATTTTTGTCGCCTCGCTATTTTACAGCTGGTGTCTCGCAAGGCTCTCCTCCATCACCGCTGCTATTCGCCTCTATACGGGCGATATTCCCCCGTGGGTCGCCATTTACGCCGATGATACGATGACTTATTTTTGGTCTAAGACATTCGTTAGCTATGTCAGCACTTACAGTTTTACCTCAAAGCGCTTGCTAGCTGGTATCGTCAATGGGACCTCTCCCTTAACGCAGCAAAGAGTAAGGCGTTACTTATAACCAAGAGACGCCATGTACTGCCGATTCCGTTAACTTTTAACAGCATGAAAATTCCGTGTTCTTAGGTAAAATACCAAGGGGTCATTAGAGATTCTAAGCTGTCGTGACGCCCACACGCCGCGGCGAAGGTCAAGACAGCGATCCAGATGCTATAACCTTTTTTATGGCGTAAAAGTCTTTCGTTGCACAAAAAGCGAAGGCTTAAAGTGTTGTGCATCCGGTCGATTATGATATATGCATATTTTGCCTGGACCTACGACTTATCGGCGATAATTGCCCTCGTTTCAAGCGTGACAAAAAAAAATTTGCTGCACCTTTCAACTAACCCGCCGAGGTTTGTGTGCAATGATACACTTCAGAATCGAGTTGCCAACCACACTTTTTAAATTGATAGCTGTTACCCTCTACGAACGGATAGCTGAACACGCTAATCTCCTTCTAGCCAAAGAACTCACCTACGAGTTGTGGGACAGCGCACATAACCGCCGCCATGTACTCTTAGCATGACGGTTGAAAGCTAAGCGGGGGGTTTAAAATTGAACGTGAGGGACACAGGTTGACAATAATTTTTTACTTGCACTCGTGGAAGACTAAAAACCTGTTTGAGAGCTCGTGTGTTCAAAGTTATTAACTCGATCGAAAACCGTGAAACGCTATTAATAGCTAAAACAATAATTAAATCTTATGCTCTTACAATGGAAAATTCGCCTTCGCCTTTAATACAGTTATAGTACTTTTAATAATAGTTAAAATCTTTAAACCCATGCCCACTGCTTGAAAGTAGCTCACGTTAGTGTCTAGTATACATATTTTACTAGTTATAAGTCGAACAAAGTCTACAACTTGCCTATTAAAAAAAAATATTAAAACAGCACAGCTAACTTAAAAAGTTAAAATAACTAACGGAAAAAGATGGAGGGATGTGAGAATTTACTAGCTACTATACTTTTCCTTTATTTTTATATTCTTTGATTTATTAGAGCCTGTTTCTCCCCTATGCAACTTCCATATGACCAGTTTTTTCAGTTATAAAAAAATTCCTTATAGCATTTGCTGCTTTATGTAAAAAATTCCAAGAAATCAATCGAGCGCCAAATTGTTGAAGTCGATTTCTAGCATCACTCTGGCACTTGTTGTATCCAATAACGTTAGCAAAGTTAAGCATAAGCGCGACAATAATTATAGTCATCCACGTTAACTTTAAGCCTAAACATAAATAATTTTATTATAGGAACTAAAAATTATAATATTTTTATTCTTAACTCCTTTATTTTTAGAAACCGTAACGGTTTTTTTATAGCCGACAATAGCTACTAATAATTTTGTAATAATTAAAAAGTTTTATATATCTCAGCAGTTGTAATAAATTAGTTGATCACAAAAATATTCACTATTAAACGTGGCGAAGATTTTTTTTCCCCTCAAATTAAATGCCTTTAAAAATTTTAAACTATGAATTAAATATATAATAAATTTTCAAGCAAGAAATATCATTTCTACTTTGCTTGTAGCATTACTTCTACTTTTCTATATATTTATAAAAATTGAGATAAATAACACTTATATCAATAATAATATCCCCAACTAATGATAACTTGAAGATTTTTTAAAAATTAATAGAAAACAAACTTATTTATTTAATTTATATAAACAAATTTTATTAATTGCCTATGCAAATGTTATTTACTTTTAGAATTTTACTGTATTTTTAATTTCTAGTGCAAATAAGTTGATTATTGATATAATAAATTTTTTATTTCAAGTCTATTTATATTATCCATGATTTTAATTTTAAAAGCAAGTCAAGTCATCTACGCTATCTTTTTTTGTAGGACGTAAGCACAATTTTACAACTGTATAAATTTTTGTAAGAATTAATGACTTAAGTTTAAAAATCAATGCCAACAAGTTGCATATGCACACTTCATTAGAATATAATAAGCCCTACAGCGCTCATGTGTAAAAATAAAAATGATTAAAAATTCAAAGTTTAATGGACTTTATAGATATTTTAAGTACAGAACCCAATTTATAAAAACTTCATGTATATAATACGTAAAAACTATATCTTAAATATAAAACTAAATAAAGTTGCATATACACGTTTTCGTAGTATAAAAAAGCTTTACAGAACTCTTTTCATAATAATTATTTTAAATTTATAAATATCACAATAATTTATTATAAAATTTAAAATAAAATTCTATTGCCTACGCAGCCTTGTTAGTATAAATATCCCTTGCAGAGCCTAAACATTGAATACAAAAACTATTGATGATTTCAAATATACTTCAAACTCGCATTTCTTATTACGTCATTTAAAAGGCGAAATAAGAGCAAAAGACTGTTATTTCTATTGGTTGTGTATATGTGGATCTATTTTTAACGAAACCCAACAAATTAAAAATTATTAAAACTTTTTAGACTGAACTTCAGTAACTTATACATCTTCCACTCAAAGTTTCCAGCAAATAGTTTTATTCACTACTTTTAAACTATAGAAAGAAAGTAATCTTTTGTCGAGTAGACCGTATAAAACCATTGAAAACCTGAAATTATTAGAAATCAAATGGTTTTCCCATAACTTCCAACCAATTTTCACTAACAGCTCTATTTTCCTATTTATAGTAATAATCTACAAAGGCATTTCCGAGTAGAATAAATTATCCCCTATGATGATTTTAAAAACTTAAATTTTTTAAATTTATAAAAATCTTCTATTATAAAAACTCCGCATCTATTACCAAACATTGTATATATAAATTATTCAATTAAATATACTAAATTTAAATATTCTTTCCTTCTTTGATAAATCAAGGAATTAAAAAAAGTTTGCTGTACTAAATAGTTTTAACATAGTTGACAATTGCCTTCAAAAAAAATTAATTTAAGATTTCTCGTATTAATAGTGAATAGATTTAGGGTTTTAGAAAATTCCTGCAGTAAGTTTATAAAAAAAACTACACATAAATTAAAGTTAAATATTTTTTAAAAAATTATAATTTATTAAAGCTTTTAATGCAAGCAAAAAAATATAATTTAACCATATTTACACGCTGAAGTATAACTTTGTGGCTATTTTAATTTTTCATAAAAATTCTCTTTATATCGCTAACATAAAAGTGTTAAGTTTCGTACAGTTTTCAAAGGTTAAAGAATAGCTTATAATATATTGAGACATTTTATATATTAAAATAATAATAACTTAATATTAATTATAATAGTAAAAAGACCTAATAAAGCGACGATGAGAAAAAAAATCCACAGCACAGGATATAAATACAAGGAAGACCAAAATATAGCAGATTCCAAAGGATTAATACTGGAGGATCCCTAAAGTTTTCATTAAAAAAAAAATAAGTTACTATAAAAAAGTATAACTGTTTTTTTTCGAGCTGCAATGAAGACAATAATGTGCGAAATTTCTTTCGGCTTACAAGTAAAATCACCTTTTTACTTTCAAAAATCCACTTTGAAGTACCGTCTTCATTAATGTGATTCCACCATCTAAGGCCCACGAGCAACCGGCCTTTAAATAAGAAAATAAAAACATAGTTAGGCAAGCTTTGAATAACTATTTCGTATGTTTGTGTTATTACCCGTCACGTTTTTGACAGTCCAAAAGTCAAAGGATAAAAGTAATACAATGAAGATAAACACAAGAACAAAATTATTAGTAAAAATAGAGCACAACAAATACGTGAGGAGTGCTGCACTTCGAAAAAAGAGATGAAAAAAGATAGCTATGGGATGGCTGTGATAATTAAAAAAGATAACATCAAAGAAATTTTAAATGTGTATCAGGAAAATAGATAGTTTTATAAATAAAAGGTAAATAGGTATACTTAAAGGTACAGAAGTGTATGGGAATACTTGTACTATGCTCCATAACTTTTGTTATAAACTAAAGCACACTTAAATGCCAAGGTTTAGAACAAGCGAGCGTAAACGAAAACGACTCAACCGCCCATAAAATTTTATTTTTTTTATTGCGCTGGCATACTAAGGGGGCCCTTCAAATAAACTTCAATGGATTAGCTTGTACCCTTCTCGAAAAGAGTATAAGCAAAATTGCGGAGGTATCATAAGGGAGTATAACAGCCGTCTTGTTTTGAAAAACTGAGGATTAGGAAGAAACATCAGTTTGGACTGTCGACAATTCGGATCTAGTTTATTAAAAAATTGCTAGAAAACTAAAACCAAAAAAGAAAAATGTAAAACTTACTCCTTTTTTCCGGGAATTTATTTTTACTTCGAAACAGTTCAAAATAACTAAAGGTTTTCCTTTTATTTTATTACACACTTAACATAGATCGAAATATATTGTGGTTGTTGAAATTTACGTACCATTAATTGTACACAATGGCACCGCTTAACTTCTTGCAGAGATGTTTAATCTTTTTGGCTTAATAAACTGCTTAGTAACGATTAAAGTAATATTGTTTAATGACTGTTAAGAAAAAACAATTGTGTCCGACCACATTAATTTTAATAACTTATAATAATAGAGTAAAACAGAAAATCAGTTTATAACAAGAGCAAGCTATAGTAGCGAGTATACTCTATTAGCAAAACTTTTTGCTACCTGTTTAAATTAGCTTTGAAGATGGACTACTTTACTTTAACTATAATCCCTTAATAAAATCTATTAGAGGTTACGTGGTGCGGCCTCCAATCTTTATCGTTTAAAATAACTTATCTATTTCGAGGTGCTCCCGCTTTTTTCCTGTATATGTGCTTTTAGCGTTAAAAAATATAAAAATTTACTTCAATAAATGCTCATAGCTACTATTGAAAAGACTTAGTTATCAAATAATGAAAAAAAAAGCTAGGTAAACTATAATTTTTAAGTAAAAAGGCTCTGTAGTTTGCTAAGTCTGCGGATTAGACAAAATTTTGAGCTTAGTGAAAGACAGGAGGACAGCATGCATATCGAAATTGAAACTTGGTTATAAGCCCGGCTTTGTTAAAGAAACTTTAGACTGAATCTATAGACTAAATGACTTTGATATGCCAAGCATTATTTATAATATTCATAATATGGTTTGCAATTACTTTTTTTTTTATTGAAATACTGATTTTTTTATAAAAAGCCTACAAAATTTTGTTTGCTATTGACAAGTTAACCTTTAAATTATTTTTATGAGCTCTTAAATACAATGTATATGTATAAGATATTATTTCTTATTCCGACTTTCCAATTTATTCCTATTTAAACGTCCAATTGTATTATTATCTTTGTTAAAGTTTGCTTTTTTGCTATCTATACGCAGGATATATATAGTAAAGTCAGTATCATAAGTGTTAACCTTAACATGAAGAGGAATTTGAAGCTACGCACACCAGAAGATTAGTCATTGGAGGTGCCAGTTCACGGACTTATAAAAAAGGAAAAGTAATTAAAAATTCCTTTTTTAGCAAATTTTAAGCCCCTAAAATTTTTAAAAACTTTAAAATAGTCAGAAAAATAAAGTTAATTTTAAAAACTATCAGTATTTATATTAATTACAATTAATTTATATGAAAAAAGAACTTAATAAAAACCCATAAAATGACGCCTTTGAAATAATCCTGCATATTTGCCATGATAAAGAAAAATAAATTAGCACCACTTTGGGCTTATATCGCTTGTTTTTCTTTAACAACATTTAGTGAGTATATTGTCGAAGGAAACACACTTACCCATACTTATTTCAACGATGGAGACGATGACAATATGGTTTAAAGTTCGTTTATGTGCTACACTCACTTGGATTATAAAACTTTCGTAAAAACAGGAAGAAGAAATAATTATTTGCGATTATAATTCCCCCCAAGCAAGTTTAAAAGATTGTTTTTGTCGCACAGTCCGTTGTACAGCTTTGTAAAAAATTTATTAAACATTGTTTTTTATTTAACGCCACTAGTAATTTTATATTTCTTATCGTAGAGATTTAACTGGCCTGAATGTTGAGAATTTGAACGAGGCATTTTTAGGTTTACGGTCTTTGGAAAAACTGTATTTTATTTTTTTACTTATTAACTTATATGTTGTTAATAAATTATCAAATTTTTTAGGAAAATTTAGTTGGCCTACTAAATTATATATACATTAATAGTTCACTAAAGTTTCATACTGACCAACTTTTTTTTTGTACATTTTTTTATAATGAAGCAATGCTTCTTTAAAATGTGAAACTTATATTCAAGCTTTTATTTTAAATTTTAAATACTTAAGAAGCTTTTTTTTACTTAACATAAAATTAAAAATTTTAGAGAAAGAAACAATATTTTAAAACTTAAATTTCCTATAAACCTAACGTGTGTTATGTACTGCTTAACTTTGTCTTTTAAAGGCGAACCATTTATACTATCTTTAACTTTTAACTTAAAAAAAAAAAAAAAAAAAAATGTTTGTTAAGTAATTCATTTCTGAACTTTATTTTCATCATCACTCATAACTCTCTTTAAGTAGCATGAAGTATATTATAAAGAAAATATAAAGTTATTTGTAAAGCAGATAACTTTAGACTATTAGAAAGCATTTCCTTTTCATTACAAGAATTTTTCAGTGATTGTGCTATGGTCTTCTATTTTAATTAAAAAGTATTTTTTTAATGATGGTTTTTTTTAAAAGATTTAAGGATTACAAAGTTTTTTAATAAAAAGTTTATTATCTTTATTATTCATTATTATTTTTTCATATACTATCTCGACAAAGCACCAGCTTCGCCTTAAGCGGCGCCTCTGTTATTTTTGATCATCAATATATTTATTTTATTATATAATTCTTAAGAATGCATTTTTATATATAATCTTTTGCATAAATTTATTATCCTTTTTTACAGTTGCCTCAACGACAACAAAATTAACTGCATTTCCAAAAATTTATTTCGTGAATTGACCAACTTGGAAATTCTGTATACTTTATTATTTTTCTAAATAATCTATATAAACAAGTAAATCGTATTAACAATTGCAACTTTTATAATTATAATTATTTATACAGTGAACTTGCAAATAACTTAATTAAAAAAATCGAGGGGAATCCTTTTCTGAGTACTACTAAATTAACAGAACTGTGAGGAAACATAATTAAAAAGAATATTTTTGATAACTTTTATTTTTTTTTAAAGAAATTTAAATGGAAACCGCTTGCGAGAGATTCCTCCTGCAATACCTTCTCTGAGAAAATTGTACACAATTCACTTTTAAATAATGCTTGCGGACTTCAGTATATAAAATGGAAATTTATAAAAATATATATATAATAAAAGTTGTTTAGAATTTTAATTAACGTTCTTAATAAAAGAACAATGGATAATAATCAAATTCAACAATTACTTAAGAAGGAGTTCCAGAATTTTATATCTCTTACAATATTGTAAGTTTATTATATTAGTAAATTAATAATTAATTGTATTTATATATAAAAAGAAGTTTAAATTATAACAGAATTTACAAGATTGAAGTTGATGCACTGGACGAGCTGCCTTTAACTGAAATGTAAGTTTTCCTTTTTTTAAAAAAAAAAAAATTTTTTTTATTTATTTAAATTTTTTTATATAAGTTATTTAGAAAACAATAAACTTGAATGTTGCTCAGTCGCTGTAATTCAAAGACTTAGTCGAACCCACAACGCAATAAAGGCAGTAGACGATACTTGCTATAATGGTGTGGCTTTGTTGCACGAAGAATTAATTTTTTATAACAATGGAAGATCTACAGAAATTATAGTAATATTTTTTATAGGAATGACTACAGAAGACTCTCAGTTGTACTTTCCAGAAGAAGAAAAATATAACAACTGTTTAGGTTACTTTAATAGAATTTCTATGTATAATTTAGTTTAATAATAAATTTTATTTTATTTTTATATATAATTTAAATGTTAATCTTGATGTTAATATAAAATTTAGTTTTACTTATTATTATTGTTATGGTAGGGCCTTGTACTGATCCGCGTAGATTTATTTGCCAGAATCACTCGACTTGCGTTTCCACTAATGATAATTCTTATGTATGCTTGTGCAATAGTGGATTTCTAAGGAAAGGTGACATATGTGAAGGTTAATAATAATATTATTATATAAAATTATTATTATAATTATTTCTATCGTTTCACTATAAATAAAGACATTGACGAATGCACCAGTGACTATTTCCAAAAACTTTGCCCGCTCAATTCGAAGTGCACAAATAGAATTGGTTTGTTTTGCGCCAATTTTTATAATTATTTATAAAGAAAAATTTATAAATTTTTTTTATAGACTTTTCTTTATTATTAAAGTTTAATATTTTGATTTTCTTAAGCAACTTAATAAAATTTTTATTGCATTTTTTATTATAAAGATTTATTATCTCTTTAGTTCATTAATTTCTACTTTAGTTTTTTATTTAAAGAAATTATAAATATACTTTTAAGCAAATTTATAAGACTTTTTATAGTCATTTCTACGAACTTTATTAAAATGAAAATTAGATATTTTTATTTTTCTTCAGCGAATTTATGGGAAAAAATATTGTTTTTCTTCTACAAATTTACAATTTTTTTATATGCATTTTTAAAAACATTTTACTATTAAATTTAATAATTTTATTTATATCAGTAAATTTATAATAATTCTTCTTTACTAGAAAATTTGATAAATATTTTCATAATGAATTTTTTTTTGCCCAAATTTAAATGTTTTTCTTTTATTAAAAATACCTTTTTTTTTAAAATTTTTAAATAAATTGTGATCTTCTAAATTTTCTTCAGTAACATTATAATAATTTATATATGCCATTTTTATAAGCTTTATTATTATTAAAGTTTTATATACTTATTAGTTTCAGTAAATTTATAATATCTTTTTGATAGTACTTGAAAATATTTTCCCAGTTTTACTTTATATATATACTAAAAAAAAGTTTTATGTACTCAAATATAAGAGTTATTA